GTACCAAAAAAATAAAAATAAAAAGCTATACAAAATGCAGGCATGGTGGTGCACCCTTGTAACCCCAGCTACTCAGAAGGCATGGGCAGGAGGATTGGAAGTTCAAGACACCTGGGCAACCTAATAGAGACCCTGTCTCAAAATTTAAAAAAAAATTTTAAAAATAAAATTTTAAAAGGGCTGGAGATACATCGTAGTGGTAGAGCACTTGCCCACCATGTGCAAAGTACTGGGTTCAATCCCAAGAACCACCATGAACAAATTTTTTAAAAGCTATATAGAAAGCTGGGCACAGTAGTCCCTAATCTGTAGTCCTGGCTACTAAGGAGGCTAAGGCAAGAGGACCACTGGCGTCCAAGAGCTCAAGACCAACCTGGGCAACATAACAAAAACCTGTCTGTCTCACACACAAAGAAAGAGAGCGAGAAGAATGGAGGAAAGAAAAGCTATATAGTAGCATAGGATAAACTGTAAAGCCCTTCATAAATTTTAACAAAAACACTTGTCAAAGCAAATTACCCTAAAATCCTCACTGACTAGATATGTGCAAATATGTCCATTTCTGCCTTATTTTAAGTAGGGAAATCTTGGAGGCAGTCTAAATACCTAATATTAGGTAAGTGATACATTACTGAATATTATCAGTCATTAAGAAGGCAAAAACTAGAAAACACAAGCAGATTATGATATACAGTTTATGTATTAGTATAGGTATACATGTATATATACTATATGTAGTTTTTTATCTATTGTTAATTTTATTCTTAGCTTTTAGAAAATATTTCTAGCCAGACATGGGACCCATCTGAGGCTGAGGCAGGAGGGTGGATCAGTCTGAGCATTATAATGAGACCTGCAAGTGAAGGAAAGAGAGGGAGGGAGGAGGAAAGACAGAGGAAGAAAAGAGAAAATACAGCATAATTTCTGCTTGTGCCCTGTAGTTTTTTTCTTCTATTATTATCTTGCAAAATCAAATTATAGAGTTGATGTCCTTTCTTTCTCTCACAGTATACACTTTAAACTCCAGAGGACCATGTTTGTTCTTTTTCTATCCAAAACAGTAATGATGGCAGTCACTTTTAATTCACAATTGTTAACATTATTTAGGAGTAATTTGTTTTAGATTAGGAAGCACACAAAAAGATCATTAATGTATGTTAGATATAAATTTAAAGTTTAGGAATTTGTTGTAGAACAAGCACCCATGTATCTGTCCAGGTCAAGAAAGGAAATGTTTGTCACCTCAGAAATGTTCCCTTCCCTTTCGATTACAGTCTGCACTTTCTCCAGAATAGAAACCACTGTACTGACTTGTGTATGGTAATTACTTAAGTACCTATCGCTTCTTTCTAGTTTTGCCTACCTTTGAACTTTATGCAAGTGGAGATGTGCTAGTCTTTTACAGTGTCATTAGTAGGAAATCTTTACCAGTAGGGAACATTTAGTTACAGTGTCATGGAGCTCCCTTTTTTTTTGATACCAGGGATCGAACTCCAGACCTTGTGCTTGCAAGGCACGCAGCGGAACCACTGAGCTAAATCCCTAGCCCTTCCCTTTTTGTTTTTTATTTGGATTGTTTCCTTCACAAAATGAACTTCTCTTAAAACTTGTACTGTATCTATTTTTTCACTGTCCTACCGATCATTTTGATACAGAGACCACCAGAGGGACAGAGGGCAAACTCCAGAGACCCTAACCTCTTACTCATTGAAAACATGATTTGTGTTTTTTTCTGAGGTAAAAAGGGACTTAAAGCAAGCTTTTAGCCAGGTGTGGTGGCACATGCCTGCAATCCCAGCAAACAGGCTGAAGCAGGAGCATCACAAGTTCCAGCCCAGCCTGTACAACTTAGTGATACCCTGTCTGAGAATAAGGAATGTGGATGTAGCTCAGTACCAAGGTCCTGGGCTCAGCCTTTAGTACCTTAAAGAAAAGAAAACAAAATAAAACTGACTCTTCACTTGGGCCTGCAGATGCCCAGTAGGTAACTAAAAGCAGAGCAAAGCTTGACCTTCATATTGTAAAACTTGCTATTCCTTCTCAGCTTTGCATACAGGCATGTTAGTTATATAAGGGAAGTATCTGTCTAAAAACAGGTGAAAGAAGGTGTATTAGCCCTAAACTTACCTAGTCTACCTCATCCCCTTTCAAGACTGAGGATACCACCATACGAGTAACTAAAGTAATTTTCAGGATTCAGCTCCATCCAGAATTTTCCTGCCCTAAACCTGCATTCCCTTAGATCCCAGTAGAGCCTCACAGGACTAAGACCGCCCTAGCAGACACAGTCCGATCCTGGGAACTCGGCTCCCCAAGCTATAGGATTAGGAGCTATAGAGCCAGGACTGAGATCCTGACCACCACCTGCCCGCCAACACCCCATAGCACTGCTGCCCCCTCTTCAGACCTGTACTCCCTTCATTTTCTCCAACCAAAACCCTCTCTGTCCTCTGTCTTTTGTTGGGGGACTGGCTTGATCTTTCAGAGTTGTGTTCCCCTGTATTTTCTCTTCCTTTTTAATTCAGTCTTTTTCTTTTAAATATGTGCTGAGTGACTCAGTTTTAATTTCCATTATCACTAAAGCAAGGACCAGTGCTAGCTGGCGAGGACTTTCCCTAATCTTTAAAAGTGTATCTCTTTTTCACTGAGTGTCTTGCAGGGCAAAGCTGGAAGGAATTCAGTACAGAAGCAAATGAAACCCCTTTCCATTGTGCCATGTCTGAAGTCTTTCTCTACTGTGCTGAGGAAGGTCTTGTTTGATTCTTAACGCAAGACTTTACCCTTCAAAGTCATAAAAACTCCATATGTTTCTTTTTTCTAATTTGGTTTCATACACTTATTCCTGTTGAGTCTCTCAACTCTAAATCATGAGGACTGTTACTACACCCCTTTTTATTATAATGTCCATGCAGAGTAAATATAGCTCAAGATAGGATGTTTACTGGGCTTGTCTGTAGTCACAGAACTAAGGAAGGATAACTGAAACTCAAAGCCTCTCTTTTAATTTATTGTTTTTTGTTTTCTGCCACAAGATCAACCCTTACTCTGATAGAGGCCTAGGCATCTGAAGAAATGAGTATTATTAGAGCAAGTTCTGTTTATCCAGTCTGGTTCCATCAAGTGACTTTTTGGGGAGTATTAGTCACATTTCAATTTGATTCATTAAAAATTCAGGTGAATTCGAGTTCCATGCTGAATGAATATGAAAGCATTTGAAATGCTGTTTCTGTACTTAAAAGAAATGACCCATGGGAAATGCACATCAAAACTGCATTGAGATTCCATCTCAGGTCTGTCAGAATGGCTATCATCAAGGGCTGGGGTGTAGCTCAGTGACACCATGCCTACCTGGCAAGCACAAAGTCGTCCTGAGTTTGATCTCCAGTACAAAAAAAAGAGAGAGGATGGCTACCATCAAGAATATAAAAAATGGCCAGGAGTGTTGGCACACACCCATAGCCTATAGTCTCACTGCCCAGGAGGCTGAGGCAGAAGGATCACCACAAGTTGAGGCCAGCCTGAACTACATAGTGAATTCAGTGCTAGCCTGAACTATATAGAGACCCTGTCTCAAAAAACAAAAACCAAAAAAACAAAAAAAAAAGGAAATTTTGACACATGCTACAACATGAACAAAAACTTTAAGACATTGTGCTAGGTGAAATAAGCCATCTACAAAAGGACAAAATACTGCATGACTTCACTTGTGTGAAGTACCTAGACTAGATTCCTAGAGGCAGGAAGTAGAATGGTGATTGGGGCTGGGGGAGCTGGCGAGTATAGGGATGCAGCTGGGGAAGCTGAGAAGGTTCTGGACACCGATGGTGGGTAATCACGCATAACAGTGTGATATACTTCGTGCCACAAGATTGGGGCTTCAGGGTGGTTGAAATGGCGAATTTTATGTTGTACATTTTACCACAGTAAAAAATATATATATACTTTTTAGTCTGAAGTTGCGATACTGTAAATCCTTGAGGGCAGAAGGCAAGAAAATATAGTCAGACTCACCTGCTGGAAATAGGTGTACAATTTTTAAGGTGACTCACCAAACTCTTGAAACCATGGTGAAAAAAAAATGATTAAAATTTAAGTATGTCATTCTTGAAGGGCATTTTAAGACTTGGAAAATTGAAAGTATGCATGGTAAAACCCACACCAATTTGGACCAAATGCGGAAAGGGTGATTTGAAACTGTTTCAATTTTATATGTAAAGCTTCTATTTTTAAGTATATAAAGTCATAAACTGTGTAAATGTATATGTAACAAAATACTGTGGGCTGCTCCAGAGGTCTCTGAGGACTTTCTTAATGAACAGATAAAAGTTGTAACTAAGGCATTTAATTTTTTTGTTGTTGTTGTTACTGGGGATCAAACTCTAGTCTTCGCGCTGTCGAGGCAGACGCTGGAACCACTGAGCTAAATACCCGGCCCGAAGGCATTTAATTACTGAGCACCTTAGTAGTTGCATACTTTATTGAATGGCTATTAACAGGTATTTCTAACCATTTCTGTATCCCGTAAGTAAATCTGAATATACCATTTTTAACAATGATAGCTTAACTTTGTATAAAAGTTATCATTTTATTACAATTTTAATAGTATCTGAATTTAGTAAGATTTCTCATGGTTTTTTTTTTTTTTTGGTACCGGGGATCGAAATCGGGTCATTGCGCTTGCACAGCAGACGACGAAACCACTGAGCTAAATGCCCGGCCTCTCTCATGCTTATTTTTAAGGTTCCACCCTTTATGTTCTGATTCTTACGGAGATCCCTGAAGAAATTTTGCCAAGAAAATATTCCTGTTTTGTTTTTTATCAGTTACTGGAAATGGTAAATCAAAAATGCTTACCTACTGAGTTTGGGCAATGATATAGATTTTGATTTTAATTGTTACTAAATTTCTGTAGGTGAGAGATGAAAACCATACCATGATGTAGATTCTGAATACTCTTTTAAATAGGTGGACACTAAGTTTTCTTTTCTTTTTAACTTTAGTAAAAAGTCCCAGAAGTGGGATGAAATGAATATCCTGGCAACCTATCATCCAGCCGACAAAGACTATGGTTTAATGAAAATAGATGAACCAAGCACTCCTTTCCATAGGTAATGTTACACAGATTTTATTCCTTTTGCCAGGTGTTTCATTTTGCATTAACAGTGAGCTTCTGGATTACAGCTGATTTGAATGTGCGCAGTATTTGATTTTATATTTTTTGTTACTGCAGCACTGGGTAATAACCTGATTGATTCTCCTCCCCCATTTGGAGACAGTCTCAAGTATGTTGCCCAGGCTCGCCTCAAACTCAAATCTTTCTGCCTCTGCCTTTCGGGTGCTGAGAATTACAGGCATGTGCCACCACTTCTGGCTCCAACTGCATAACTTTTTATTAATAAGTAATGTATAATTTTAAAATTATAGGAACTGTTTTGTGGATTATAATCATGGTAGTAAATGTATTTGTTGCACAGGTTGCTAGCTGCTAAAAGCGCACATAGGTTAGTGAGTTTTGCCTTCCTTGAAGTGAAGGTGAGATGTGAGTTTGTTTGCTTCCCGAGTAGAAATCAGGGACTTTCTTTGCAGAAAAGGCTGACTGCATGGGTGTAATGGTGGTCGTTACTACCATTTCTTATCATTTTGGAGCTTATATGTACATTGTGATTTGTGGCAATTTTGAGTCAGACATTTTTTAAATAAATTGTGAAATGATACTAGGTGGTAGTGTCTGATAGGAAGACAAAAATAATGTACCAATAAACATTATGAGAAGATGGAAATTTGAAATATAGTGGCACCTCGGTTCAGGAATGCTTTTTTTTTTTTTTTGATACCGGGGATCGAACTTGGGACCTTGTGCTTGCAAGGCAGGCAGCAGAACCACTGAGCTAAATCCCCAGCCC